CTGAGGGCTTAGGGTTTTAGGGCTCATGGCTGTAATTGGGGCTCTTAAGGGTCAGGGGCTACAGTCTGATTACAGTCATCCCAGTCATACCCGTAGGCGCCGGAACCCCCCTAATATTAAAACCAAACCGCCGAAATCCAGGTTTAATATTAGGGAGCGGGGCGGGGGGGAGGCGTTTAATATTAGGGGGAAGAGATTAAGGAAACCATATTGTTTACTATAGATCCTGTTTATGGTCACTTAAATTAAATCCCTTGACAGGACCCCAGTTTAGGGCTTTTGGCCATTAGAGCGCTCATCTGGTTGGAATCGGACGGGTTGTTGGAACGTGGGGCGTGTGAGTGCATCAAGTAATAAGGTTACAAAACGGTTTTTTTCGACTTTGGCTTCCAGGGTCTTGGGGCCAGAGATCCTCTAGAAGGGGTTTGCAAAGATTCATCCGGGCACGGCATCTGAGGAACATCAGCACATGTAGCTTTTCAGGAGGGGAGAGTGCATGATCCGTGTATGGGTCTACCGCCTTCATAGAAAATCGACGCCTCGACTCTCCTTACACCCTAGACTCTAGCCCTAGACCCTAAACCCTACATCACCACCCCTGAGCCCTCTATACTTATGCCTCCTTGTAGCCTTAACTGAGGTACATTGGAAGCCTAGCCATACTATGTCCCATGATCCTCCAAGCAAGCGGTAAGCATCCAGGTGCCTCGACCCGAGTTCATGGAGATGATCAAGCTGCTCAGAGAATGACGTAGCAGGGTTTTGTGAAGGTTTGAGATTGAGGACTCATATTTTCGCATCCAGAGTGCAACATCTAAGGTCCAAGGAAATAGGATTTAAAGAAGTGGAGTGGGGGACCTTAACTAAAAACCCGGATCCTTGATTTCGGAACCCTCCCCAGATGGGCCTCCCAGATGCATCTGTTTAAAGGCATGTCTCAATGGGTTTGTCTGTATCTTCTGTGTTCTTCTGCACAGCGCCGCTGATGCTTAATATAGGAGCGTTAATAATTAGAATAGGGTTTTAAGGGTTCCTTATTATAATAGTATAATTATAATAATACTGAGGAACCCCCCCAAAACCCTATTCTAATTATTAAGGCCCCTATATTAAGAAGGGTGCAGGGGTTCCGGGTGGCAGGTTACCATGGAGCTGTGTCCCTCAGCCCCGAGTTCGATTCCGGAGATCCCAGGCCCCAGTCCTGGACTCTTACCCTAAGGCTCTACCCATAGGCCCCTAAGTAGTTCCTTTTTGGGATTACCCTCTCGGATTCCAAATATAAGCCATAAAAGGAACTACTTAGGGGCCTATGGGTAAGGGCTCATATTGCAAGGTTCCCATACTATATAGGGCTTTTGGGCTATATTGATCCTTAGGGTTAACTAAGACATCAACCCTAAACTCCGTAGGATGGCGTAGGGGTGTGGGAGATTAGGCCTGAACTCAGTCGCCGGCGCCATTACCAATATTCTTCCATAGAGTCCCTAAGGATAGCAAAAAATACCCCTTTGCCCTATTCTAGTCCCTAAAACTTTATTAATCCCTGAAACCTCAAAACCCTAAACCCTGTTCTACCCACCAAGGCTCCCATACCGTTGATGACATTAACCCTGCATTACCTCAAGGAATGTAAGCTATGGGAACTATGGTATATTCCTTAGTTGTGAGTAGTGCAGGATTTGCATCATCAACCCTAGTATTCACGTTTTGAGGCCTTGGGATGTTTGGAGTTTCAGGGCTTCTCCGGTCTAAGACTTCGCGGCTTGTTGGGTTTGTATTCAAGCCAAGCAGTCTTAAGTCCGACGCGGGTCCTAAAGACCTTGTGAAAGAAAAGGGGTTTAGGGTTTAGGGGTTTTAGGGTTTAGGGTTTGGAGTTTTAGGGTTTAGGGTTTAGGATTCATACAGGGGTTCTCTAAAGTAGGGCCCCTTGGTAGGTGTCAAACCTTTTTAAAAGTGACCAGAAAAGGACCCAGACGTAGAGAACTGCGAATATGGTCTTGGGGCCGAACGCAATAGAATGTGAGCCCTAGCGCCTTACGGAGCGGACTTTGGGATTTCGATTTTTGTCGTCGTGGCTTGGTCTTGAGATTCTTGGGAGGGTTTAGGGTTCAGGGTTTCGGGTTTTCTTCTGTGAACTGGTCAAACTCCTCACGAAGTCGTCGGCGTGTCACCGACTAAGCTTGCCTAATTTAGAAGCCTCAATGATTGCGAATATTATTACTGCCTGGTGCGGTCCCCAATCAGAAAGAAATTATAGTGCGGTCTACCCCAAACCTTGTTCTTACTATTAAGGCCCCTGTGTTAAGGCTAGGCTACCCTGAACTTGAATCGCTCTACGCAGAATTCCAGAACCCAGGCAGGTCCCCGTGGAGGAAGTGCGCCAGATTGAGAGGAAAGTCGACAGACCGCAGGCAAAGAACTGCTTCGGGTTTAGGGTATAGCGTCCTGGGTTTAGGGCTTCAGTTAAAGGAAACTACAGGTGGAGAGTTCCGGGTATGTGTATATGTGTGTGTATATATATATATAGGGCTCCCATACGGCTTCTTTCAGGTATATAGACCTTCTATAAGCCTCCGATAACGGTAGCTACCCACCTGAAAATGTCCTAGATTGAGAGGTCGAAGGGCCAAGCTTTGCTGGCTTTGAGTTTTGGCGCATCAGGGTTTAGGACGTCGACCCTGAACCTGGCATCCTACTCCAGTAGGAAGGCAGCAACATGGATCGCAGTTTGCGACCAAAGGTCTCAAGGAAAAGGGTTTGGCACAGGCCTAGGGCTCTGCATGGTTAAAGGCCATTATTCACTCCATGGTTCCTTCAACCGATTTCAACTATAAATGCCAAAAGTCTATGCCATTATCCCCTCCATGGTTCCTCAAACAACCCATTTCAACTATTCATGCCCAAATTCCATGCTTTAGCCCTAGAGATCACAATATCCCCAGTGGTTTGAGGCCTTGATGAAGATTCCGGTATCGCACAAGGACGAAGCCCTGAACACAGCTCTACACGCTAAATCCTAGTCCTAAACATCCCTAGGCCCTAAAAGGCCCTAAACCGTAAGAACCCTAAACCACGAAGTCAACCCTCAGCAACCATCCTCAGGCCCTAGGGCCCGGAACCCCTGACATGTTGCCTTCGGCTGCCCTGGAAGCCGAGGTAGCTGCAGAGTTGGCTGATACTGCGGTCGGGATAACTAGTAAGCACAGTGTGCAGCACTGGACACACCACATCCCCCAACCCTATTCTGACTATGAAGGCCTCTGTCGTACTTACTTCGGGCGCCCTGTCTAAGCCCCTATATAACTATACCGCTGTAGGCTGCAAACTTATTCAGGAAGTCCTGTCAGGTTTACACTCTACATCCCAAACCCTGAGCTCTAAAGACGACGAGCCGATCAACATCCCCAACCCTACAACCCTAAAGCCCGCCACAGGTCAATCCCAGCCCCAGGGCCTCAATAATTAAAATAAGGTTTTGGGGCCCATTGCTAGACTTATACTAAGGAACCCCCAAAATAGTATTTGTAATTATTTAGGCCCAGCCCTAAACCCTTCAAGCCCTAACCCCCTAACCATTGCAGAAGCCAAAATGGAGCCTCGACCATCCTACACCCCCCCCCCCCCCCGCCAGAAAGCCCAAAACCTCATTCATAAGAGTACGCCCCCCCATAGTAATTTTAAGGCATATTCCTTAACTAAGGGGTATGGGGATCCCTAAACCCTAATCCCTAAACCCTAAACCCCAATCCCTAAACCCTTATCCCTAAACCCTAAACCATAAGCCCTTATCCCTAAACCCCAATCCCTAAACCCTAATCCCTAAGCAGTGCTCGTCAACTTTTGACCCAATGGCCCTGGCACAGGTGCAGCTTGTCGAGCGTCCAGTGGAGGCCGAGTGTTGCGTCGGTTTGGGGTTTAGGGTTTAGGGTTTAGGATTCAGGATTAGGGGTTTGGTTTTGAAGGTTTCTTTTAGCGGTTTTTAGGAGTTTCGGGGGTTTAGGGGTTTAGGGTTAGGGATTTTGCGTGGGGAGGTTAGGGTCTAGAGCTTTCGGGTCGTCGTTTTTTAAAGGCGATTTTAGGAATTTGATGTGGTCAGCAGGCTTATATATAAGATTTGTAAGAAGGGCTGACAGGGTAATTATACCCAAGTATAGCTGAAGCTTTGGGATCTGTGAGGTTTTTTTGGGGGGGTAGAGGTGAGGGTTTAGAGGCTATATAACCGCTACAGGGTTCGCAAGCGCCTCTGGGGTTTTTAGCGCTGCGTTCGGGCTTTCATCACGACTGTCTCAGCGCGATGTATGCAGCTTGATGGAACTTGACACGATATACCACGGTATCAACCCTAAACCCTAGACCCTAAAATGGCGTTAGGCTAAGGATCCCGAACCCCCCCCCAACTCTTGAAACCTTCAACCTCAAATCCCTGAAGACATTGAGCCGCGAAACAGCCAATTCTACATCCTGAAGTCGTAGCAAAGCTCTGCAGTGTCTTCCTTGTTTCTGCGTTTGGGCTTAGGGGTGCCCCAAAGACGGCTTACTTTGCAGATCATAGTTAGTGACCCCCGACATCGGAAAGGCAGAACTCCTGTCCCTCAAGCCGAACATGTCGAACCTCACGTCGTAGTGCCCACTGCCGAGGTGGTGCTCCACGAGATACACGACAGCATCGTGGAGGTGCCACGAAGCTATAGGGTTTAGGGTTTAGGCTCTAGCGTCTACAAGTCTCCCAGTAGTACCCTTATGCCGCATGCCCCTTTTGGGGGCCTCCGTAGTACAACTGAACAATTACTTGTGCCCTCATGTACGAGGGAACCTACGGATCAGGGTTTAAAGCCTGTTTCGGCTTCTGAACTTTGTGGAGGATCTTTGTCGGTCGACTTTAGAGTTTTAGGCTAAGGCTGTACCAGGAACCCCCCCCCCAAGTACCCTTTAATAGAGCCCTTATGGCCCTTGTGGTCCTTAATAGAGGGTAGTTCGTACGGCCGGTTTCGACCGCACAGTTGAGGTGTGAGAGGCGGCCTCGGAGGTTGGCTTTAGGCTTTAGGGGTTTAGGGGTTCAGGGTTTAGGGGTTGCCGAAAAAAGTGATGGGGCTGCCAAGGTCGGTCCGGAGTGGAGCTCTCGGTAGGATAGCCTTACTTGGGCACTTTAGTCACCAAGGATGACCTGCCTACGAAGGCTGAGGGGGGCTGAGGGTTTCGGTTAGGTCACTATCTAGGACATTTTCAGGTGGGTAGTAACCGTTGTAGGAGCCATATAGAAGGTCTATATACCGTATAGAACCCTTAGGGAAGCCCTATATACCCTAAACTCCCCACATGTAGTTGCCTTTAAACCCGCAATGCCAGGTGCCGGAGATAGAATACCACGAGGTTATCAAGGAGGTGCCTCGCGTGGAGATTCAGTACGTGGACAAGCAGGCGGACCAACGATTAGAGTTAAGCCTACAGCGTTACACCCGCAACCCCAAACTCTAAGACTCAAGACTCGAAGCCCTAACGCCCCAAACCCTACAACCTTGAACCCGAAGCCGAAATCCCGCAATCTAGAGGGCTCACACTTTGAGGCTGAGAGGCTTGCAGCCCTAAGCCCTAAATCCCAGCCCGCAGGTGGAGGTGCACAAGATCGAATACATCGAGAAGGTGGTGGAAGTGCCTCAGATCATCTACGAGGACCCCGCCGAAGCCCTCGACCCTGAACCCTGCATCCGATAAATCCTACACCCCAGACCCTACATGCCCCAAGTCACAAATCCTAAGCGAGTCTGCTTGGGAGATTTCAGGGGCTTCTGCTGCTCCATTTGGGTTTTTAGTGCTTTGGGTCCCAAGCAGTAAACCCTAAACCCTAAACCCCAACCCTTCTGAGCTTGGCGGCGATGCGACAGTTCTGCGACCTGCTAGCCTAGGCCTTAAATTTTGGGGCTGCGAAGTCTTCGGGTTCAGGTTGAAGCTTCGTCCACTTGTGCAGTCATTAGTACTCCAGAGAGGTCGCACACGGTGTTCCATTGAATACGATGGTAGAGTGTTCGGCATGAAGTGTGCTGCATAGCCGACGTTTGTTCTGAACTTCCATGCTTCCCCCTTCGTAGCAGTTTTGTTTACTATGAAGACCCGCAAGATAAGTAGGTCATGAAAGGCTGGCACAAGGGGCTTGCAGCGGCCTGAACAAGACATCTCCAGACCTTCCATCATCGTCATCATCTTCATCATCAGCATCAGCATTAAGATCACCATCTTCAGCATTATCACCAGCGTCAGCATCATCATCACCATCATCAGCAGCAGCAGCCTCATCATGATAATCATATCTCTTATTCTTATCGTCATCGTCTTTACGATAATCTTTATCGTCATCTTCTTCTTCTTCATCAACAGCTTGATGGGCTAGCCCTTAATGTAGCGTTGGCCACAAGGGGACGACGACATCGACAAATATCTCCGAGCCTGGAATAACAGGTGAAACGGCTGTGCCAGTCCTGCGCCCTTGTCTTCGCTGGCTCTTACTATGGCTGGGCCACCGCCCTGACTGCCGCCACCATGGCCACCACCGCAACCGCCGCGACTAAACCTAGTCTAGCTCTGGAGGCGTGTCAACTTGCTTAGCGATTTGAGCAGGAAGCGCGAAACAAAGTTTCCTGAACCCCAGTAAACTCAGAAACCCCCGTTGTGTACCTTGACCAAACTCCAATATAAACACAGTCCGAATAATCGCTCCGGATGCCCCATAATTAGAGTCCCTCTACATCCCGCAAAACATTCGTCGAATCATTAAGACCCATGTTCAAGGCTTGAGGTTTCCGGGGTTTAGGATTTGGGGTTTAGGGTTTAGGTTTACAGTATGTAAGAAAGCCCAAACTCGGTTCTAAGTGTTTAGTCCTTAGTTTTCTTATGGTTACAAAATCACAATCTTACATTTTTGTATATATATATATGTATATACATATATATATATATACACACACACACCGACCGCAACTCTGGTCCAATTGTTGACGGCCCTCATGTTATCTCAGCGACCCTTAGGGAGGTAGGGGCGACGGGGGTAGGGGACTCTACTTCCTTCAATAGGCCTTATTAGGTCCTCAATACTGGTATTCAGGCCCCCCACCCCCCCACCCCCCCACCCCTTTAAAGGGTCCCTATGAACTGTCACGAAAGCCCAGACCTTCTCCACTGCAGGAGCGTATCATTGAAGTGCCGGAGGTGGAGTATCGGGAGGTCATCAAGCAGGCGCTAGACCCCAAGTCCTAAAATCTCAGACCCTGAATTCAACAAGCCTGAAAGGCAGACGGGGATTATAACAGGGATCCTAATATGAAGATTAATGAAAGCACTTAACAGAACGAAGCGACTTCTGGATCAGGGGTTTGCACGAGAACTGCGATAGCTGAGGGCTAAGGGAGCGTCTATGAATCGTTCGCCAGGCAAGATGGCAGTTGCTGTTGGGATGATGAAGGGGCTGAAATAATTACCGAACCTACTTCTTGGAATGTGCGGCATACGTAAAGTGTAGCATACACCAAAATTCTGTGCATAAAATTGAGACATTTACATTAGGTCCGGGATGGGCGGCTCAGCAGTAAAAACAAGAATCGTGGCACAGCAGAGATTGGGGATGACTGCATGT